ATTTCTAGTCATGGCAGATATTGAACAGTGGCTGGATGATGTTTCTAATCAGAGACAACAGAGGCCTTAGCTTTGATTTCCAGCCATCAGCACAGAGTCTTCATCATCATGTTATTCTGAGCTGCAGTGATGGAATCAAAGTCTCAAAGCATCAACACTGTCAGGAATCCTGTCCTTGTTCTTAAAGCTGCACTTTAACTATCTAAAACACTGCTGTTTTGTTCAAAGCCATGAACTGTGCCTGAGCCCACATCCCAGCCCTTCAGGGTCTTTTTAGAAGGCAGCCAACCCTCCAGCCTCCAGTTTGTGTCTCTGGGAACTATAATCAGGCTTTTCATGGTCGGAGTGTTTCTCACTCTGCTGACAGAGCTGTGTCCAGGGGAGATGACAGGGTTTACAGAGGAGACAGGGACGGTGAGGTCAGTAGTCATGGTGGCAGTGTCATCAGGAGACACAGCATCTCTGTCCACAGATATGCTGATGACACTCCGCTCTATGTGGCCGTGCCTCCTGACCACACCGGGACCAGTGACTCACCAAAAACCTTGGCACTGAGGTTTTACTCTGACTGGAACTTCCTGCACATCTCATTTGTAGGCTGTCGCAGAAACAGCATCTGATCATTGGAAGAACACTGCGACAGTGAGGCCATGTTTGTGTCTGAGCACCACAGAAACTAATGCAGACTTTTAGAACTAGCAGGCCAGACTATTGGAACAATCTGCTCTCTGATCCACCAAAGCTCCAGTTCATACAAAATCCAGAGTCCTGCTGCATGAGTGCTGCCCCAGACCAGAAGGACAGCACACATAATGCCCATCTTAAAGTCTGACACTGGTTGCCTGGTGGCTTCCACAGACTGGACTGGAAGGTTTTCTGTTAGTCTGTGAGCCACCACAAGGTCTTTGATCAGACTGTCAGAAATGCTGAGAAATGATGAACTGAGAAGGCCCCTGGAATCCTCAGTTTCTTCTCTTTTAGCTGCCAACATCTGTTTTAGTCGACATATTTCCAATGCAGCTGCTCACATGAACTTAAGACCAGACACTGGGATTAACTCAATGAGGCAACAGAGCTAAAGAAACCACAACTTTCTGATCAATAAAAAAGTTCACCTGGAACGAAACAGTAAAAAGGACTGAACACAGAGAAAAAGCTGAGTCCTCACCTGAGAGTTCCCATTTCACAACGTGGACTCCCCAGTCCAGCAGACAACGGCTCCACTCCTGAGTCCTGCAGGTCGTTGTTACTCAGGTCCAGGTGTCTCTGACTAGAGGACTGGAAGCTGAGAACTGAGGACAGAGCTTCATAGCTTCTCTCTGACAGGTTACAGCTGCTCAGCCTGGAGGGAAACCAGCAAAACCATAGTTACAAACATCAACTTTTTGTCTTGACTAAAGACAAAGATCAACTTAACCTGGACTGGTCTATGTGCACGTACAGAGCTTTGTTGGAGGCTCTGACCACAGGCAGCAGCCTCAGAAGAGCCTCCTCTGACGCAGAGTATTTCTTCAGGTCAAACACATCCATATCTTTGTCTGATGACAGTAAGATGAAGACCAGAGCCGACCACCTCATCTCTGAACCTCTTCCTGAAGTACTGGTCCTTCTGAGGGTCAGTGAACCCTCTGACCTCTGTCACCATGTCCACACACACAGAAGGGATCTGATTGGCTGCTGCAGGTCGTGTGGTTATCCAGAGGTGAGCAGAGGGAAGCAGGTTCCCCCTGATGAGGTTTGTCAGCAGCACATCCACTGAGGTGGACTCTGTGACATCAGTCAGGACCTCAGTGCC